GGATCCATCTCAGGACCTTCCCTTTGCGAGGCAGGTGCAGTGCCACTGAGCTAAATCCCCAATCCTGTATGTGGTTTTTACCGGCAAAACAGGTTCATATTGTAGCATGTGTCAGTATGGGCAATCCTACACTTCTGATGGACTTGTGATCCAATAAACCCATAATAGGTTATATACAGCATAAGCTGGAAATGCATTTAATTCACCTAACCTCATGAATATAATCGTTAGTTACACTCTATCAGCTGTCTCCTCTCATAACTGCATGGCTGAGTGGGAGCCATAGCTCATTGCTGCTGCCTAGCATCTGAACAGGACCACATATCTTTAGCACAGGAAAATTCAACTTTGCAGTACAGTTTCTACTCAATGTGCACCACTCTCACACAATCATAAAGTCAAAAACTGTAAGTCAAACACCCTAACTAGAGCATCATTTGTACTATATTCTTTTTATTACCAAAAAATATTCACTGCACGAGTACATCATGTTCTACATAATATAATCCATTCATCACTGGATGGATATATGAGTTGTTTCCACTTTTTGGTTATTATAAATAATGCTACTACAAACATCTGTGTGCCCATTTTTGTAGGCATATGTTTCAATTCTCTTATATACTTAGGAGAGGAACTCTGGGTTAAATAACAACTGTTTTACCCATTTCAAAGCATTTTCCAAATTGCTACCTTATATTACAATCCCATCAGCAGTGTATACAAGGGTTCCAATTTCTCCACAAATTGACCAACAGTTGCTATTGTCTCTTTATTATGGTAGCCACAGTAGTAGGTGTGAAATGGTATCTCTTTTTTTGGCATTTCTCTGATGACAAAAGATACTGAACATTCTTATATGTGCCTATTTGCCACTTACATACCTTCTTTACATGTCTACTCAAATCTTTCCTCTCATTTTTATTTTATTTTTTTGTTTGTTTTGTTTTTTGAGACAGGGTCTCACTATGTAGTTGGGTCTGACCTGGAACTCACTATGCAGCCCAGGCTGGTCTCAAACTCAAAGCTATCCTCCTGCCTCAGCCTCCCAAGTGCTGGGATTACAGGCATGCACCACCATGCCCAGCCTTTCTCTCATTTTTAAGCAGAATGTCTTCTGACTACTGAGCTCCAGGATTTCTTTACATAGACTAGATACAAGTACCTATGAGATACATGGTTTGCAAATACTTTCTGCCATTTTGTGAAGTCTCTTCTCACTTTCTTAATAATATCCATTGAAGGGTAAAAGATTTTAATTTTGATGAAGTCAGCTAATCTATTTTTCCTTTCACTGCTTCTATTTCTGGTGTCGTATGTTAGGAAGCTTTGACTCCAAGGCCCAATGATTTGCCTTTATGTACAAGTCCCTCCTGATCCATGAAGACATTCCAAGACTCCAGGTGAATTCCTGAAAGTGCAGAGGGTACTAAGCCTTATATATACTGTTTTCCCTATATTTCCATATCTATGATAAAGTTTAATTTATAAATTATTCATAGTAATAGATTAAAAAATAAAAAAGCAAGAATTATCAGTATGCGTCAATAAAATTACCACCATGCATTTTAGGTCCATTAGCAAGTAGAATAAAAGTTACCTTGACACAAGCACTGCAATACTAGGACAGTCCATCTGACAACTGAGGTAGCTACTAAGTGACTAATAGGCAGGTTACATACACAGCATGGACAAACTGGACAAGGGGATGATTCCTGCCTGGGATGGAGTAGGACAAAGGAAGATTGAATCATGGCATTCAGAACAGCATACAATTTAAAACTTATGAAGTTTCCATGTAATACTTTCACCCCATTGTTAACCATGGATAAGGGAAACTGAGGAAAGGAAAATCGCAGATAAGAGGGGACTAATGTATTCTCTTCCAAGGATTTTATAACTTCAGCTCCTACAATTAGGTCTACAACTCAATTTGAGCTAATTTTTTGGTATGGTGAGAGGAAAGGACCTAATTTTATTCTTTATGTGGACATCCAGTTATCCAGGTATGAACATTCAGCTATCTGCTGAAGACTATTCTTTACCCACTGCATTGTCTTGGCAGAAATGCTTATTTTGAATAGCATTACATCCATCTCTTAATCTCTTATGGATATGAACTCATTGCTAAAGTGATTATTTTATATAAACTGTCATCCTACATAATCTGTTTCTACTAAGCTTCTTTTTTCCTGTGTTCATTCTATCCTCTATCTTTTATATTAAGAGGTTTTCCTCAGACACCAGGTGACCCTACATTTCTGCACATATTTAAAATCAAAGAACTAAAGCATTGATTAAAGGGCTGAGCTTTTAAGGGTGTGGAATTTGTTAACTATGACAATCACCAGATAAGAATCTGAGTGCTGGGTGTGGTGGTACAAGCCTGTAATCCCAGCACTCAGGAAGCTGAGGCAGGAGGACTGCTGCAAGTCTGAAACCAGCCTGGGGTGCATAATGAGTTCAAAACCAGCCTGAAGTACACAGTGAGACCTTGTCTCAAAACAAAACAAAAAAAGAATCTGAGTAAGCCAGACATAGTGGTGTATACCTGTAATCTAGCTACTCAGGGGGCTGAGGCAAAAGGATTGCATATTCAAGGCTACCCTGGGCCTGGTCTCAAAACAAAAAGAGCTATGGATGTAGCTCATTCATAGAGTTCCTGGCTAGCATGTGTGAAGTGCGGGGTTGGATTCATAGTATAATGAAAGGAAGTAGAAAGGGAAATAAAGGTGTGGGGGAGGCACACTTCACAGGGGCTCCTCAGCATGGAAACCTTTCAGTTTTCCTCCTCCTGGATCTAGTCACATTGATCTTCATTCCATGTTACAGTCTATATTCTATATTCTAGTGTTCCATCTACATGACAATAAGCTTCAACACTCACATTCCAGAAAATGAACAAAGTAACAGGACTAGAGGTTTTTAACAGTCTGTAAACATTCACGTAAATGTCCAGTTTTAAGAAGTTTCTCTTATCTTTAACTGTGCCTGATATCCCTCAGTTAAAACATTGTTTCTTTTACCTTTCTGCAGAGTTCATCTCCATACATTTCTCAGTGTGGAGTGAGGAACAGGAAGTAGATTTCAACTCTAAATCCACTCAACTCTAAATCCACTCTATCAACCTTCCTGATTTTAGCCTTACTTTCACGTTGACTTCTGGAGGTAAATGGTACTGCTAATTCCCTTACCTGTGGAGCTGTGTTGCATGAGTTATCTTCTAAACATTCTTTAATGCTGGCTTAGCAATTAAATTCCTTTGACAAACCAAGTCGTCCTAATTTTGGCAAATTGGGGTCCCTCTCTCTCTCTCTCTCTCAAGCTGGAGGGGCTTATCTTCCCCCGTAGCCCCAACCCCCCCAACAATGTGGGGGGGTCTATCAATTTTTTTTATTCTCTTAACAGTTCTTTTAGTAACAGAGTGGAAATAAACGTAGGTATTCACTGCGCTTTCTGAAGCTCTTAAATCAGACTACAGATATTGAATCAACTCTATAAAGATACTAAATCATCTCTCGATTGGGATGTACTGCAAACAACTATAAATGTATTTCAATATTCAAATTATTTGCAAAATATTTATTGAGTGTCAGGGACTGACCTAGCGCTACTGAAAATATAGCAATAAACAAAAGCTCCTGTTCTCATTTAGTTTGTTCTATTAGTATGGAAATACAATGACTGTAAAAATGTGAGATGGTGATAAGTTCATTAATGAAAAATAAAGGATAAAGGAATAGAAAACAATGGGACAGAACTATTTCAGTTAAAGTAGTCAGAGAAAACTATTCAAGGAAGTGCTACTTGTCTAGAGAGATGCCATGAAGAAGAATGAGCCAGTGAGTGATTAAACCAGGGTTGACCCATAACAGTAATCTTCCAGGCCCTATGCCCAGGGATTTAATTTCAGTCAGTATACTTATGTTTCTTTTCTTTCTTTCTTTCTTTCTTTAACAGTCCCCTGGTATTCTGATGTGTAACAATGAGTGATAAGCACTGATGAAAGAACAACTCAGGGAAAAATATAGCAAATGACAAGACTCAGGTCGGAGGGGAACTTCTAATTGGGAGGTGGTATAACATGAAGTAGAAAAGAGAGAAAACAGGATTTTGTTGGTGCTTCTAAAGAACTCCTTAGAAAGAAAAAAATGCCCCCTTAATAACTAGATTTGAGTAACATGGGAAAGATATATCTCTAGAGTGGAGACAAATTAATTGCATTACCAGTGTTTAGTAAAAATACAATTTCAAAATATTTAATATACTTTTATGGCTCTTTATTAAGCAAAACTTCCTGGGTAATATCAGAATTCTCAAGCAGTGGGACTTATGGAAAAGAGTGAGCCACTATTAGAATTATTCTGACTTCCTGATTAATCTAACCAATGTATGTATTACATGAAGTACAGGATTTTACCTTCTCCTTCAAGTATATATAACCAGATACTTCACTTCCTTCACATACTGAATAAGACTGCTTTGAGAAGAGAGAGCAGGGAGAAAAGAGGATTCTCTACTTACTGGAGAGGAAAACTCATATATTTTGCCCTGAGATCTTAATGAATGTTCTATACTCACATTATGAGCACAGAGGTTTTAAAAATTATATATTCATAACAAAATTGTTTTGGTCTTTCTGAAAGTTTGGAGTTAAGAAAAGAGGGGTGGTTACTGTAACCTACATTCAAAGCTCTACATGCCACGCAAAAACTACTTACTCCAGAACTTGGAAGTAGGGGTTAGAATTACCCTACCAATACTATCTTGCATCCCTTTTCATTCTCATAGATAACAAACTAATAGCCAGGCACTACTACAGACCAGCAATATTTGCTGAATGAATGTATCAAAGAATATTTTAGAAGAAGATGAAAGAAAATTAGTAATATTCACTTCTGTTCACGGAATATGAATTAACATTTACTTACAAAATGCAAAAATAAAGTAAATCTATCCTAAGCAATTTCCTAAAAAAATTGGGTTAAATCCCCATTTACCTTTTTAGCTCTTTCAGAAATGGTAGGTGCTTTCTGCAATATTTTTTCTTGAAGAAATTCTTTATTCTGGAGGGAAAAAATAAGCATTTCTTCTCACAAGTAGTTTTTATTGAATCAAAACACTAACAGAAACATTTATCATAATTACCATGCAATACAGTAACCATCTTATGAAGTCTGTGGAAAAGCCCCACCCTTTCACTCAGAAGCTTCTGCAGTGCAGTTCTGCCAGGGTCTCACAGATTGAGACAGAGCTGCAGTGTGCTGGGTGAGCCACTACCTACCAAAGGTTTAATTTACTGTATGTCCTCTGTTGGTCCCACAGTTTCAACTACCATAACACCCCACTACCTTTGGGATATGAGGTATTTGCTAATCTGGTAGTAAACCTTGAAATGAGAGAACAATGCCAAAAATTAATATTTCTCAATGCTGTAAGTTTAAACTGATCTTTCATTTATACAACAGATATACATTTACTAAATTCCAAGCAAGTGTCTTCGTTATTAAAGATTGCATATAGATAGTGCTGCCAGCAATTACTTTATGTACCATTATTCTCCCCAACATAATCACCTTCAGAAATGCAACTTATGAGCAGTGAACACAATATGTTCGTATGCTGAGATGCTAAAATTTCCTACCTTTGCTTTCTGGAAAAATTTGTGCCTTAACAGTTCTGCTGCTGTTGGTCTAAAACCAGAAAAGAAAGTTTTTACAGTTAATTCAAGTGTAATATGAGTTCCCATTTGCAAAACTGAAAAAAACCATTTCTTGAGAAGCTAAATAAAAACTCAGTATAGTCCACTTTCCTTATCCTGCTTTACAAAAAAAAGAGAGAGAGAGAAGAGCCGGGGATTTAGCTCAGTACCACCACACCTGCCTCGAAAGCAAAAACTCCTGAGTTTGAGTTTGATCCCCAGTACCAAAAAAAAAAAAAAAAAAGTAGGATAATCCTCATGTAAGACATTGAGTAAAATAAAAAATTCAAAATAGAAAAATAGAAAACTCCTGGTAATAATTTTCTTTGGAAAATTTATTAGTGAAATGTTGCTTCTGGAAGAATGATTTCTTAGTGGCTCCAATATGTTTACTACTAAATATTATTTTTCCTAAAAAGCTAGACAATATTTATGCAGCATTTTTAGCAAAAAATAAAAATATATTTAAACTTAAGCAAGACCTGTCATGTAAAGGTACAAGATCCCAGTAATGAATGTAACTGAACTGTCTACATAGAATGTACCAATAAATTCAATTTAAATTAAAAATAAATAAATATATATATTTAAATTCACAAAGGTGAAACTGACCTAATCAAGGCCACCACTCCTTACTACATGGCTAGCTGTCTGACAGGTTTCAACTTAAAGAAACTATAGGTTCTTAAAATTAGATTTCACAATTTCCCTTAAAAAATGGATATTCTAAAAGTGAAGTGGATTCCAGATTAAACCACAACTCGGTTTTTCATTCAACTATGCACAATTTTCTGTAAATTCATCATCGTTACAAGCTTTTACCAGAGTATCATTCAGTCTACAGGATTTTACACTTAAAAGTCCACACCGGATCTTATCCCGTACTTATCATGGAATTCTGCACAAGTCACAATCACTCCGAGGTTCATTACTGCACACCCCAGCCCCCAGAGAAGCAGTTTTTTGGCTTTATCTTGTTTTGTGGTGCCAGGGCCTCCCACATGCTAAGCAAGCGCTCCACCACTGAGGTACCTCCCAGCCTAAGTTGTGGTTCTTAAAACACCACTATGAATTAGAATATCTGGGAAGTATTTTTTTTTTCTTTTATCGAGTTTATTGGTACACTTTAGGTATACAGTACAGTTACATTCATTATTGGGATCTTGTATCCTTACATGACAGGTGGTCTTGCTTCTCATTTTTTCCCCTCGTCCCTGCCCTCCCTTCACCCCCTCCTCCCCTCCCCATTTACAAACACTTTATTTCCATTTTTTTATTTTCTCATATTTTTTTGCCCTTATTACCTTTCCCCTACCCTTCCAACTTTCCCTATACCTTTAGCCCTTTTCTTCTGGGAGGTATTTTTAAATCATCAATTAATTAGAGCAAAATTTTGGGGAACAAAACACAGGTAGTTTTAAAACTTCCCAGCTAATTCCAATGTGCATTCAAGCTTGGGAACCAGTGCTTCTGAGATTATAAAGATTGAGAAGATGACTACAAGGGAAAATTATGCAAACTGAAATTAGATATATTTATTTCTGTCATTCAGTAAAAATTGTAATATGTTTCAAGGATTTGGTCAACACAGCTTTTCACTATTCATTCCTTTCTTTTTCTTTCTTCAAAAAAATGTAACTTTTATAAGGATTAAGTGATGTGATTAGAAAACTTAATTTCTGGGTAAAAAGTATCTTACTTTCATGCTCACTTGAATGACAGTTTAACTAGACAATTCTGAGTCAACAGCTATTTTTTCTCACTATTCTTTGACTATGTGCTGGCTCAACTGTGGCTACAGAAGTTGTTATTACACTACCTGCTATCCTTCAGTAAGTGACCTGTTTCCTAAGGTTATATGTAAGAAGCTTCATAACATTGTATTGCTTCATAATATTGCTTGGAATGTGGAGGAGATGGCTCTTTCAGGATACAGGTCTTCAGTATTAGAAAATTCTCAGCTAGTATTTCCTTGAATTTTTGTTTTCCCACATTAGCTCTAGTCTTGGTTTTCTTACATTATCTCTAGTTTCTCTTGCTAAGGTCATATATGTGTATACGTTCATATATGTACATACTTTAGTGTTTACACACATGCAAGCTGGGTATCCCTAATCCAAAAGCCCAAAACCCAAAATGCTCCAAAACGGAAAACTTTTTGAGTGCCAACATGGTGTCATTTGGCATGGAAAACTCCATGCCATGTAACTTTGCTAACATGAACTTTTTGTTTAGAGTTTGGTTCTATCCGTAAAATATCTCATTATATATATGAAAAATTTCAAAATCCAAAACATTTGAAATTCAAAACCCTTCTGGGTCCCAAGCATTTCAGACAAGGGGTACTCAATGTAAAAAGACACATACACAGTTTTTGCTAACCAACGTTTAATTTTGATTTACAAATTGAACTAGATATCCTGTATTTCCCAAGTTGTTTATGTATTTATTTTGAAACAATTTCAAACTCACATAAGAGGAACACAGAACACAGTTCCTATGTGCCCTCACCAGCTTCCATCAAAAAATTAACTAAAATATTAACAATGGTACATATTATTACACAAATACAGGCTTTATTTCGATTTCTCCAGTTTTGTCTTTTTTCTGCTGCGGTATACTAATGCATGATACTCTTGCATTCCATCTCCATGTCACTAGTCTCCTCTAATCTGTGAAAATTTCTCAGTCACCCCTTTCCTTGACACTTTTTTGTTTGTTTGTTTGTTTGTTTTTGTTTTTTTGAGACAGGGTCTCACTATGTAGTTGAGACTAACCTGGAACTCACTATGTAGCCCAGGCTGGTCTTCAACTCACAGTGATCCTCCTGCCTCAGCCTCCCGAGTGCCGGGATTACAGGCGTACGCCACCATACCCGGCTTTCCTTGACACTTTTGATGAGTACTGGTCAGATATTTTCTAGCTTATTCCTCCATTTGAATTGGTCTGATGTTTTCTTATTATAAAATGACGTTACAAACTTCAGTCAAGAATATTTCAGGGCCGGGATTTAGCTCAATGATTTCACTGTCTGCTTTGCAGGTGCAAGGTCCCGAGTTCGATCCCCAGACCCAGTAAGAATAGTTCACAATGAGTTACAATCCCAGCCCTTTTTTAATGCTGAGACAGGGCATTAAATTACCCAGACTGGGCTCAAACTTGAGAGCCTACTGCTTCAACCTCCCAGAGTGCTACGATTATCGATATGCACCATCATGCCCTGCTTATAATTTTTCATTTCTAGCAAAGCCATTTGATTCTTTTGTCATGTTCATAGTCTTCTGTTATGGTTTTAATTTCTATTATAATTTCAGCTTTTTAAGGAAAGTTATATTGGGTTAAGGACATAGCTCAGTGATAAAGCACTTGCCTAGCAAGCACAAGGCCCTGGGTTCAAGCCCCAGCAGAGAAATAAATGAATAATTTTTTTTTTCTTTTGGTACCAGGGATCGAACTTGGACCCTTGTGCTTGCAAGCTTATGAGGCAGGTGGCGAAACCACTGAGCTATATCCCCGGCCCAATGAATAACTAAGTTTTAAAAAGATGTATTTCATAATGTTTTCAAATATGATGCAATACCTAAATTTCTTAGAGAAGTAATCCTATTTTTATCGGCCAACTCTAACTCATAGAATATTTTTTACCATATATATAATATTATAATTTTGGATGTGATCATATCTTCAGTAGGGCATTCTCTGCAGGAATCTTGCAAGGGACCTGGAGCTTGGAAGTATTCCTTTGGTGCATTTCTGAGATTGGTTTCAGCCAAAAATAAAACTTGCTTGACAATTTTTTTTTCTTTTTGCTACTATGGTTTGTTGGATAGTATGAATTAGATTCTCAATCTACAGAATGTCACAAAGAGCTTGATTATTCAGAAGAGATTTTTGTTGTCTCTTGGTGATAACAAATGGATAGTTTTTATCCTACATCCTTCTGAGGATGTAGATTTCTGGAGATCTTAACTTTAAGCAGGATCTCAGTTCAAAATCCCCCACGGTAGGCTCAAGATCTCAATTCCATACGGCCATTGCCCTCCTAGATATCTTCTCCAAAGACTTACAGATATCCTCTGACAATGATACATGCCATGTTTACAGCAGCACAACTGTCAAGAGCTAAATCTGGGAAGCAGCCTGTGTGTCCACTGAGAGATGAACTGATTTTTTTTAAGTGTGATATTTATACACAATGGAGTACTACTTTGTTATAAAGAAGGATACACCTGAGTCCTCTGTAAAAAAAGAATTCACCTCGAGACCACAATATTAAGTGAAATAAATCAGATGTACAAGTCTAAATATCATGTGATTTCTCTCATATGAGAAATCCAATATATAAAGAGCAAAATAAATCCTACATGATAGGAAACAAGGGGAGATGGATCTAAAAGGGAAGGGAACAAAGTGATGGAGAGGGGGGCAAAAACAAATTTTCTCTACCTTTTTTAACCATTTACTCAGAAAGAGAAAAAATTCTAAAACCATAGGTATGAAATTTGCTGCCTATTTTTCTTATCATTTCGAATATTATCAACAGTAACTTTAGAAGTCTTATTACATATAACCAGAAATACAACCAAGGATGTCAAATTCTTACTTTTGTCACTCTTTAGAGAAAACAAAATTAAAGAACTTTTACCACTAAGAAACTCAGTGGAATATACAGTTTTTCCTTGCTATCCCCAGGGTACTGGTCCCAGGACACCTCAGCTATCCCAAAACTTGCAGGTGTTCAAGTTTTTTTAATATGCAAAATGACATAGTACTAGCATTACTTTGATTCCAAAAGTAGAGAAAGACCCAACCAAAACACAGAACTACAGGCCAATCTCCCTAATGAACATTGATGCAAAAATCCTCAATAGCTGGGGATTTAGCTCAGTGGTTCTGGAGCCTGCCTCATAAGCACAAGGGCAGGCATTTGATCCCCAGTACCCAAAAAACAAACAACCAACCAAACAAAAATCCTCAATAAGATACTGGCAAACAGAACACAGAGGATCATCAATATCATATACCCTGACCAAGTCAGATTCATCCCAGGGATACAAGGATGGTTCAATGTACATAAATCAATAAATGTAATACAGTATATTAACAGACGTGAGGACAAAAAAACGTAAGATCATCTCAGATGCAGAAAAAGTGTTGGAGAAAATCTAATATTCATGATAAAAACCCTACAGAAAATTGGAATAAATGGTCTTTATCATAATCTGATAAAGGCTATTTATGAAAAAGCAACAGCCAAAATCCTACTAAATGATCAAAAACTGAAATCTTTCACACTAAAATCAGAAATAAGATAACGAAGGAAGTAAAAGACCTCTACCTTGAAAACTACAGCATTCTGAAAAAAAGAGACTGAAGAGGATATAAGAAAATGGAAAAACATCCCTTATTCCTGGGTAGGAAGAATCAATATAGTGAAAATGGCCACACTACCAAAATTGCTATATATATTCAATGCAATCCCTGACTGATATCCCAACAGTGTGTTTCACAGAACTAAAAACAATCCAAAAATTCATTTGGAACCAGAAGAGACCTAGAATAGCAAAAGCAAATCTAGGCAACCAAGGTAAAGGTTATCACAATCACCAACTTGAAACTATACTACTAAGCTACTGTAATAAAAACAGCATGGTACTGGCAAAGAAACAGACTTGAAGATCAGTGGAACAGATTAGAAGATTCAGAAACAATCCCAGCCACCTTATCTTTCAAAAAGGTGTAAAACACCCTCATTGGAGAAAAGATAGTCTCTTTAACAAATGATGCTGGAAAAATTGGGTTGCAACTTGCCAAAGATTAAAATTACATCCATATCTCTCACCATGCACTAAACTAAAATCCAAATGGATCAAAGATCTAAATATTAAACTGAAACACCAAACTTGCTGGAAAAATAGGTTAGGTAGAACTCTTGAAGACACTGGCATGGGAAAAGACCTTATGAACAAAACCTCAGTAGCACAGGAACTAGCATAGAGAATCAACAACTGGGATCTCAACTTATTAAAAAGCTTCTACACTGCAAGAGAAACCACCAACAGAACTAAGAGACAACCTACAATGTGGGAAAAATATTTTACCATGTGTTCCTCAGACAAAGGACTACTATCTAGAATATATAAAGAACTTAAAAAAATCAGAACCCCTCAAATTTCAAGACCCAATTCAAAAATGGGCATCTGAAATGAACAGACATTTCTCAGAAAAAGCAGCAAAAAAATATGAAAAAAGGTTCAACATCACTAATCATTCAAGAGATGCAAATGAAAACAACACTGAGATTCCACCTCACTCCAGAAAGAATGGCTGCTATCAAGAAATCAACCAATAACAAATGCTGATGGGGTTGTGGAGAGATAGGATCCCTTCTCCATAGTTGGTAGTAGTGCAGACTGGTGCAACCACTGTGGAAACCAATATGGAGGAGATACCTCACAAAACTAGGATTAGAGGTCCCATTTCATCCAACTATTCCCCTGGTGAGTATCTTCCTAAAAGAATCACACCAGAGTGACATATGCATACCCATGTTTATAGCAGTATCGTTTATAATAGCTAAAGTTTGGAAACAGCCTAATTGCCCATCAGCTGTAGCCTGGATAAAGATGATGTAGATTTTTTAAAAACTGGAATACTATTCAGCCATAAAGAATGAGTCATTTATAGCTAAATAGATGCACGTTGAGGCAATACTCTTAGTAAAATAAATAGAACATACATGTATAAATACCAAATAGTTTCTCTGTTGTGAGAAACTGAAAGTATAACTAAGGATCAAAATACATAACAGATAATGTGAAACAGGAAGAAAAGGTCTAAAGGGAAGGGAAAGTGGGAAAGGTAAGGGAAAGGAAAAAAGTGAAAGGAAAAAATGGAAACAAAGTATTTGTAAACAGGGAAGGGTGGAGGGGGTAAAGGGAGGGCAGGAGAATGGGGGAAAAAATGAGAATCAAGATATATCATATAAAGGAACAAATTTCCAATGATGAATGTCATCATATTGCATACCCAAAATGCACCAATAAACTTAATGAACAAAAAAAGAAAGAAATGACCTAGTACTGTATGTGCATACAAGCTAAACTACTCTCCCACAGAACTTAAAATCATTTCCAGATTACTTATCATATTTAGTAGAATGTAAATGCCATTTATACAGCTGCTACACTATATTGTTTAGGAAATAACAAGAAAATGTGTACAGGCTTAGTACACAGGTAATTTTTTTCCAGAATATGTTTGATCCATAGTTGGTTGAATCTGTGAATATGGAGAGCTGACTACACAAGTTGAAACAGAAATATTAGATATAGTAGGATATACAGGTCCCTAAATATGAATCAGAACTTTCAGATTCAAGTTCTGCCTCTATGAATGGGTATCTAGGTAACCTCAAAGAAACTCAGTTCACAAACTTAATTCTTTCCATGATTCTGGTCACAAATTGAATTGGACGAGAATGGAATCAAATTCAATGGTTAGGTTCAATATTGACTTTATGGGCAAATTTGAATTGTTTCTCATGGAAAGAATGAAGTTCATGAACCAAGGTACCACTGTAATAGGTTCTACACAATGATTTCCAACATTCTACAATTTTGTTCAATAAACATACATACAAACATTAGACATTCTTAGTTTTACATCCTCACTTGCCATTCAATATCTGTCTAGTACTGTACTGACAAGAAAGCTATTTGAAATATTGTTCCAAAATCTTTCTCATGTGGAAAGAAGTACAGTACTGTTATTTGACAGTTATTTGCTATGTGTTCTATTTTTGTTATTACATCATAAATAGCACTAAGATAGTTGTTAATTTATAAATTTCAAGTACAAATTGAAAACAAGCCTCTCCCATTAACCTGGCATTTTACTGAACAGAATTCACAATATACAATTCTATAGTTATAACCAATTAACCAGCAAATACCTGAATAATATGGGGCACTGTATGCTATAAAGAAGACACTAATCAATTTAATCACTTCTAATCATGTACAATGGTCTGTGTACACTTTAAATTTTATAATTGGTTCTTCAACATATGAACAAATAATCCCCTGTGTATACATGTATATGATTAAGACTTCTCACAACGGTTTACATATTAGATGGAGAGAAAAAAATAAAGTTTAACTCATATTTTACCTTTTTTCTGGATCCTTCTGAAGGCACAATGAAATCATTTTTCTAAATGATTTTCCATATTTTTTAAGCATTTCTTTATCTTGAACACCAGTTTCCAAAGAAGGAGGATCATTCTGTAGTGTCAGCATTAAAACCTGCAAGAATTTTCAAGAGAGTATAAAATTCTGATGACTCAATAAAGGTTAACCGTGGTGGTCAAGATTTTTCAATAAAGGCAAACTCCCTTGTCCCAATATACAAGTACATTTTACTTCCTAAATGTTCGCATCTAGATCAATGATTCAGAACCCAGAGTTATTTACATACCTTACACATGAATAATATGCTTCTTACAAAGCTTGCCTATAAGGTTCCCTGTACAACACTGATATGTCCTTTAGTTGGAATCCATCGTTTCTTCACATCACCCAGTCCTAATTCTTAAACAACCAAATTATTTTTTAAGAAAACATTAAAAGCATGGCAAAACTAATCATATTACTAACTTGACCTATTCATGGCCCTGTTTTCCTTGACCTCTTGCAATATGGCTTTCTCTTCAAAGAATTCCTCAAATGCTTTTCTACAGAAATGATGTCCTAGTTAAACCTACAGACTCTTCGGGTCCACATTTTTGCTGTATCCCCTGCAGCAACTGACAATCTTGGTCAGCGTGTCCAAGCTAAATCTCTTCTTCCTTTGACTTTCATGGCAATACACTAGCTGATGCATAGAGATATAAGGAATGAAGGTCATACTTACAAGATAAGATATAGGTTATTTGTATTTTTCTATACAGTTTGCTTTTATAGAAAAGCAAATGCCATTTTTATAAATATGCAATTAATAAAAAGTAAAAGGGAGCCATAATCAATGCTATATTTTCCTCTTCTGATTAAATTTATATTTACAGAAATGAAGTTAGTAAGGCTTGAAATGTTTTTCATTTTAAGGAAGTAGGTTAACAATATGTCTGGCTACAAATACTAGAATGGATGAATAAATCTCATACTTACCCCCTCACCACAACCTTTTAAAAACTAAGTCATCTGATTGGTCTAAAAATAGCCTCCCACCTTGCAGCTGTAAAAACAGCTTCTCTTCAAAACCTGGTAAATATTCACTTGCTTCTAAAGGCCTTAAGCTTCCAGATGAAGGACGGCCTTAAAGTATAACTAATCTTCAGAATAATCAGAATTATCACCAAATATGCAGGTCAACAGAAGTATGCTTTGAATATGGAAACATGCAGAGCTTATTCATAAAATATGTTTACTGGTTTGTCCCTCTCTACATTGTTAGAACCTTAAGGGGACAGAATTACATGATTTCTTAAGATTCTAAAGTGCACCAAGATGATACAGATGTAATTACCTAAGTGACAATTTTTTTCTTTTTTTATGAGATAGGGTCTCACTATGTAGTTCCTCCTGGCCTTGAACCCACTATGCAACCCAGGCTGGCCTCGAACTCACGGTAATCCTCCTGCCTCAGCCTCCCAAGGACAGGGATTACAGATGTGAGCCACCACGACCAACTCCTAAGTGACAATTTACAATAATGATAGGCATCAATTTGTACAAAGTCATGCTGCATCTTATGAAGAAGTCAACTACAACTACAAAGAGAAAAACAGAATTCATGTACATATGACAACTAGGAAATGGTCACACAGATAATAATGACTATCAATAGTACTGATAGCACCATCTTGCAATATAAAATACTCATCCTGTCACTAAACAGGAAGGATTAGCAATCACAATTCACAATATTAGTGAAGTAGTAATATTAGTGAATTAGTGACTAGTACACAACAGGCCACTTAATAAAAGTTGCTTAGTGTCCTACTACAAAACAAACTGGTTTTTATTTTTAATCATTAAATTATGAGAGTAATAAATATGCCTGGCACATGAATATTGTGCATAGATTATTTTATATGAAAAGCAATGAAAACAGCGCTTGACGCAGATAAAGTGCTTAATAAATGTTGGTTTGTGATTAATATCCAGTCCTTCCAAAAACCCTGTAAGTAGAAATGATCATAAGCCCCAGTAAGACTGCTCTGCTTTGCAGAGCAAAGGTGAGGAAGACAAATTAAAATGAGTAATCTTACTAAACTAAGAGCAGAATTGGGAGATGGTGAGACACAACATAAAAAGATCAATTATTGCTGGGCGTGGTGGTGCACTCCTGTACTCCCAGCACTTGGGAGGCTGAAGCAGAAGGATAGCTGTGAGTTCGAGACCAGTCTGGGCTACATAGTGAGTTTCAGGTCAGTCTCAACTACATAGTGAGACCCTGTCTCAAACCCCCTCCAAAAACGATCAATTATTATACAAAGCCACCCAATACTAAACACCAAATACCTAATTTAAATTTTAACTGCTACAGGAGTTTGAAGGAGCACAGTACAAGAGCACCATGAGTAAGAAAGGATTCTGGAAAGATGATAAAATAGAAAGTACCAATCTCTCTCCCCACACCTAGACAACTAACCTGCCAGAATCTGCTGTAACTACTTTGAAAATATGGAGTCTATTGAAGGCTTGCAACTTTAAGACAAACACTTGGAGAGTAAACTAGTCAATTTCCACTTAGTTCTCTGAAGCAGCTACCCAACGCCCACCCCAAATCTGCAGTAGGGAGCTGCACATACATGTTCTGAGAGCAACCCACACCTGGCTGCGAGAAGCAAGTAAGTAAAAGACCTTGTCTTCTCAGTATTGAAGATGGGTGGTCTCATTGCTCATGACTTTTCAGCAGAGGTGCACAAAGAGATCAGCAGCTAATGTTGCCAGCCCCTCTCCCTCCAGCTTATCATCATTTTCACTTTCCTTCTTTTGGGAATCAAATTCATACCAGTAAAGACACAATAAATGGTATTAAGTAAAAGACAGGTTCCAATACAAAAACAGTGGAAGCCTCCAACTCCCTACTTCCATCAGTAGATCAGTGGATCGTTCCAACAAAACCATGGACACAGACCCATTGACACAGGAATGTTGCAGACCAGACAGACATCCAGTATCATGCACAACATCACCCAACAGCTGCAGATCTCATTCCTCACCTGCACTCGGGGGCCACCAGGATGAGGCCACAAAATAAGTCTCAGAAAACTCAAAACTGAAACCATATCATGTATCACCTTGGACCAAAATGGAATAAAAACAGAAATCAACAAGGGGAACTTTAGAAAGTATACAAATACAGGGAAATTAAATAAGCTCTTGGGGGAAAAAAAAATCAATAGGAAATTACAAATTTTCCTTAGAATCACAATGTACCAAAGCCAACGAAAAAACAGCAAGAGCAGTATTAAGGAAAAACTTTGTAGCAATAAGTGTTTATATAAAAAAAAAGAAACACCCTCAATAAACAATACTATACAATCCTATGATACAACTCAAGGAGACAGAAAGCAATAAGTCAAACTCAAAATTAATACAAATAAAGAAATAATAAAGATTAGAGCAGAAGTATATGAAATACAGGCTAATAACACAGCCAGGTGTGGTAGTGAAGATTAGTAACCCAGCACTCTAGGATGCCAAGAAAGAAGTGAAGAGTTTAAATCCAACCTGGACAACTTAGTGGTTTAGCAAGACCCTGTCTCAATACAAAAAAAATTTTAAAAGGACTGATCACACCAGACCTTCATACTGAGCTACATTGTACTTCATAGAGGAAATGCCAATCAAAACAATAAAGTACCATCTCACCCCAATTTAAATGGCTATAAACAAAATGACAAAAATAAGAAATGCCAATGAAGATATGGAGAAAGGGAAAGTCTTATCCTATTGCAGGAATGCAAACTACAGCCATTATGGAGAAGTAGAACCATCATATGATCTAGCTAACCCACTACCAGGTAAACAACTACAGAAAATGAAACCCATATGAGTTACTTGCACCCTTATGTTTATTTCAGCACTATCCACAATAACCAAGATAAGCAATCAATTTAAGTGTCTATCGATGTATAAAGGGATAAAGAAAATGTGTTTTTATACACAATGGAATATTATTCGGCCTTTAAAAAAGAATAAAACCCTGTCATGTGCAGCAATGTGGATGGAACTGGAGAACAATGTTAAGTGAATAAGCCACAACAGAAAGATAAATAATGCATGTTCTCATTCATATACAGAAGCTAGAAATGTTGATCTCAAAGAAGAGGAAAGTAGACCAGTAGCCACCAAAGGCTGGGAATGGAAATGGAAGTTGGATAACAGATACCAAAATATATAGTTAGACAGGAAAAAATTCTAGTGTTCTATAGTATAGTGCGGTGACTGGTTTACAACAAACTTTTTAGCTGACATCATAAAAAACTGTATTTTTTGGTAGTGCCAGGGATCAAATCAAGGACCTTAGGCACATGAGGCAAGTACCCTATAACTGAGCTATACCCCAAATACATCCTATCTTTTTTCTTTTTTTTTTTGGTACCGGGGATCAAACTCAGGTCTTTGCGCTTGCAAGGCAGGCAGGCAGCGGAACCACTGAGCTAAATCCCCAGCCCCTACATCCTATCTTTTGTAATGTTAAAATAGAGAATGCAGAAATGTCATTCTACAATATGAATGCACCTTGAGGACATTATGCTAAAAGAAGTAAGACAGTCAGTCACGCAAATGTTACATGATTATATTTATCAGGTACAGAGTACTCAAAATCAAGGAAGTAAGATTTTTGCTGGGATGTTGCTATGAATGAGTCTCACCTTCATTGGTGGATACTTGTGATAAGGAGCTGCCCCTGTGGCCAGTTCAATTGCTGTGATTCCAAAACTCCAAATATCAGCTTTGAAATCATAACCTCGGACCTGCAAAGAACAAAGAATGCATTATGATGGGTGCTAGTCTGTAGCACTTTCAAAAAATAGTTTCTGATACTGGTCACTAACAGTGAAACCCAGGTATGGTGGTACATGCTGTAATCCCAGGACTTGAAAGGCTGAGGCAGGAGTATTATAAATTTAAGGCTTGCCTTTGCCACACAGCAGGCAAAACCCTGTCTCAAAAAGTAAAAAAAAAAATTTTTTTTTTTTTTGGTAATGGGGATCAAACTCAGGTCCTTGCAATTGCAAGGCAGTCACCAGAACAACTGAGCTAAATTCCTGGCCCAAAAAAATAAAATTTTTTAAAAAGTGTACAGTAGGCAAAGCTAAATATAGTTGACAATAGAGGCAAAAAGGCAACTCAAATGTTCACCAAAAACAGAGAAATAAGAAGCTGTTAACTTTGGTATATTCTAACTTAAAAGATTTTATGGTTAATTAAAGCAATGTTTATTAATTCTATATGAAAATATGGAAAACAATTTGTGATAAAACTCTTATGAAGAAAAAAGTATAATTATTTGATGTAATTATAATAGGTACATAATCTATTTCAATAAACAGACAAGAACTAAACCAAAATATTTTATAAAGATCCTAAGTCTTTTACTTTCCAAATATTATGGTATTGTTTTATCATTATTTCTATAATGAAAAATGTTACAGAAAGTGTGAACATTTTTTAGTCTGTTGGTGTATGTTGCCAAATTTCATCTTATACTCCTATCAGCACATTATACAGTTAGACATTTTCATTTGCTACCCTAAGCAAGACAGAACACATTACAGGAGTTTCCAGTGTAAGGCCTAGCATTAAGACAATATTATATACTGCTCTGTCATCAGGAGGGCCTCTAATGACCCAAGTGCAAGTTACCCTCCTGTGATGTTAATCTCACTGCTAAGGAGACCGACTTGAGGTATGCCTCAGATTCAGGAAGAAAACTCCGGGGGTGAACTTGTAAACTGTATCTGGTCCCTCTTTCCTCTCTGGCTCTTTTCCTACCCTTCTGCTTCCCAGCTGCATGACATAAGGAGCTTTTCAGAACCATGCCCTTCTGCCATGATGTTTCTACCTTGGGGCCAGCTGACCATAGAATAAAACCTCTGAAGCCATGAGCAAAAATAAACCTTTCCGCCTTTAAGTTGCTTCTGTCAGGCAGTTTAGTCACAGCAACTGAAAGCTGACCGATACACCTCCCGCTCTGCTGCAGCAAATAATGTTCTCTAGCTCAACAACCTCTTTATCAAACACACCAGGTACACTTCTTGTTTATGCCTGAGTAAGTTTCCACTCCCTTAGAGCCAGTCATATGCTCCTAAAGAAACACGTCTTTATCCCTTATCCCATGTTTGTTCACTCTGTTCCCAAGTGCAACCTCACATAGCCCTGTATAGTATGCAGTGTCTTCCTCAGGCTGTTACTAATAAACAGCTGTCAATCTAATCTGTACAGAGTCAGATACTGTGTGTTCAGCCATCCTATGGCAGGAAAGCTTTTCTTAACAACAGGGTTAATAAAGATGATTAAAGCAGAGTAAAAAGTTAATTTAGTTCGTAGCATGCAGAGTTTGTTATAAAACATTTATATAAAGCATTCACATAGAATTGGAAACAGAAAACAAGACTGGATTAGATATAATTTAGGAATCATTAATAAGAAGCAGAGATGAGAGCATCTGGGGGAGTACATGAAGTAGGAGAAGGGAAGAGCCCCAGAACATGGTTCTGTGAGAGAAAGTCACTTAGAAGTAGATGGATAGCCCAAAAAGAAGTCAGAGAAATGGACTGATGTGCAGGAGAAGAATGAGGAAACTACAGTAACAAAGTGAAAGAAGCAAATAATGTTGGAATACTCCCAATTTTCAGATGCCACCAAGCAGACAAATAAGCTAAGAAATCAGAAATGAGTGCTGGACTTGAGAATTAGCATTTCCTCAAAGTGACGGGAAGTGACAACAAGCTGCAATTATTTTATGTGCAAACAGGAAATGAGCAGGTAGAAACAACTAGTGCTTTGGGAAATAGAGCAGTGAAGGTTACATGTAAAATGACAAGGTCATTTAATTTATACTAAGATTTTTTAAAATCCCGATTGTATTACTCCTTGTATTGCTTCAATATAAATCTTGAGTTTCATATATCCTCTCTTAAGTTCTGAGGTGTTCTGCGGTTTTCTTTTCAAGAGTACTGAATGAGAAACAGAGACATGTATTTACCAAAGCTAAGCTGGTAAACAAACAAAAGCAAAGACTACTAAACATTTTCAGGTTCACAACAAAACCCTAAACCATTTTAAACAGACAAAAATCACAGTACCTGTTCCATAACCTCAGGTGCCATCCAGCAAGGGGTGCCAACAAAGGTCTTCCTCACTTTATTTCGGGTAATATCTCCACCAGTTGCTAAAAAAGCACTAACCCCAAAGTCTGAAATATAATACAAGAACATGGTATTAAAAAGACAGTAACTCAAAGCTTTTGTACATGGGGAGAGGAAAAAGGAGGCATGATGTAGCAGGCACATGTACAAATTCCCTATGGTGAGTGTTATCATCATGTACACCTACAATGTACCAAAAAATATCTTACTATTAAAAAAAAAAAAAAGACAGAAACCATCTCAATGGATGGGAAAGGTAGTCACCATCCTACACATACATAAGAAAATAGCACGATATTTTCTGTTCTTTTGGTAGAATCAAGACAAAAAAAAAAAAAAGACAGAAACCATCTCAATGGATGGGACAGGTAGTCACCATCCTACACATACATAAGAAAATAGCACGATATTTTCTGTTCTTTTGGTAGAATCAAGACAAAAAAAAAAAAAAGACAGAAACCATCTCAATGGATGGGACAGGTAGTCACCATCCTACACATACATAAGAAAATAGCACGATATTTTCTGTTCTTTTGGTAGAATCAAGACAAAAAAAAAAAAAAGACAGAAACCATCTCAATGGATGGGACAGGTAGTCACCATCCTACACATACATAAGAAAATAGCACGATATTTTCTGTTCTTTTGGTAGAATCAAGACAAAAAAAAAAAAAAGACAGAAACCATCTCAATGGATGGGACAGGTAGTCACCATCCTACACATACATAAGAAAATAGCACGATATTTTCTGTTCTTTTGGTAGAATCAAGACAAAAAAAAAAAAAAGACAGAAACCATCTCAATGGATGGGAAAGGTAGTCACCATCCTACACATACATAAGAAAATAGCACGATATTTTCTGTTCTTTTGGTAGAATCACGACTAAATTCAGGCACAGCTTAAGAGAGGTCCCTCTCCACACTCATGCGTCATCATCTCACAATCTGCTCCTTGCCCCAATCCACTGTATTTACCACTCTCATATTCATCCTTCCTTCCTTCTTTCATTTTCTTTCAATTACCACTCTGACCTGACCCTATCAGCTTAAACAACCCTACAGAACTAAATCCATCCTTTTCAGCTTGCCAATCAATAAGAAGTTGGCCCCAACAATTAGAATTAGAAACCCAATCATATCATAGCTCAGCCTCTTTATAGATATGTGACATTACTAACAAGGTTTATCTCTTTAAAGCCTCAGGATTTTCTCTACACAGATTTTATCTCAAATTCCTGAAGCCAAGTCACTGAGGAGAACCGCCTATCTCACCATGATTGCTCCTCCACTAAGAACAGCTCTGGGCTTGTACCTGTATTCTGTGACCTGGACCCCAGGGCACAGCTTATTTGAGCCAGGGTTAGACACCTTAATCCAAGTTAGACCAATCACAGTCTCCTGGAAATCTAAAGTTTAAATGGAAAAATAAGAAAAGTGAGAATCACTAGAGCTGAGACATCCTAACAAGAGCATCCTGGAGGTCATCAGCACAACCAGGTTCCTACTCATCATGAGGCATGCTGTTAGTCCCTTCTTTGATTCTGTGTATTGCCAATGTATTTCAAAAATTCCTGTTTTGTTAGGTGACAGTTTCTGGTCAAAGAACCTTACCAATTTAGAGAGACTCTCTATACTTTAATCACCTATTTCAATACACCTTATCTTGACTCCCCTCTTGTCTTATGTCTATTTCAGAACACTATGAAGTATGTAAAATGGGTCTGTATTTGAAAAGAGAATGAATTATGTACAAACTCAGTGTGAAAGATAATTTTAGTACTGTGAACTTTAAAGTTCTAAATTCAGAAGCCTATGAATTCACTCATCCTACAACAATCATTTGCTTATTCCTAGGTAAAACAGCAAGACTATACAAAACAGATGTTTTAAAAATAATCTTATTAGAACTTCAAAATGTTGTTCCACTCATAAAAGCCATGAAAAGTAAACATTTAAAAGTACATTCAAGGTGGGCCTAGGATTTAGCTCAGTGGTTCCACTGCCTGCCTCACAAGCTCAAGGACCAGAGTTTGATCCCCAGTACCAAAAAAAACAGTACATTCAAGGAAAAAAAAAACTACATTCAGTGTACTCAGCTCTACCACTTGCTAGCTGAACCTTAGTAGTTACTTTCTATTCTTGTTCTACAGTTTCATCCGTAAAAAGTAGGTAATAACAGGGCCAGGATTTAGGCTCAGTGGCACCGCTCTTACTTCACAAGCACAAGGTCCAAAGTTCGATCCCCAGTATCCCCCCAAAAAAATAGGTAGCAACAATACCTACCCAAATAATGCCATTTTAAAAGACTAAATGAATTATGCATATAATAGTTCTATAATATACTAAGTATTCGGCAAATACTTGGTACATTTACTACTAAGAGAACAAACCTACGCCATAGAATATTTAAATATAATTAAGACTAAACAAATTATGTACATTGTATCTTTAGGTTCAATTATGAGGTTTAAAAAATTTTTAAACATACTAAAAGCCTCCAAGTAGCTTTAAAATACCCAGAATTTAAATCTAAAATTTAATGATGATTCAGAATGTTTAGATCCTCAACCTGTATATTGCTGCTTCTTCACAAGTAGGACTTTCAACCCTGAAGACTTGAGTTAAAACACTTAGGTAAAGGATTTAAGTGAGAATATCCACTTAACCAAAATATTCTCTTCAAATAACTTCCACAGATACAATACAAAGAAATATGGCCAATTTAACACTAACAGGAACCTGTTGTTTTAAATTGCTAACTGAAGAGTAACTAAAATGTGAAAAAAAATCATTTTCGCTCCTTCATTAACACAATTTCGATGAAGTACAAAATGGACTTTGGTGTCTACAAGATGGCACAATCAAACGTGATGATCAAAAGAAATATGGTCCCTGCCTCATACAAAGATTAGAATCAGGTATTTACCCATACTCTATGAAAAAATTACAACCCCAAATACTATACACTCCTATAAGAAAACACAGCTGTTCTGTACCTATACCAATTCCTCACGTCATGAATATGACGTTATTTACTGCAAATGTATACTAATAAAAAATTCTTAACTTAAAAATACAGGAGAAAAGGTTCACTACCCTGGATTTAGTAATGATTTCTTGGACATAACACTGAATCTTAGGCAACAAAAGAAAAAGTAGATAAATTGGACTTCATCAAAAATTTTAAAACATCACTATTAACAGAGTGAAAAGCAAGCCACAGTTTGGGAGAAAATACACACAAACCATACACCTGACAGATTGACAGACTATATTAAGGAATTCCTACAGTTGGAGAACAACAAAAACAGAATCCAATTAAAAATGGTAAAACAATTTGACTGGACATTTCACCAAAGAAAATAAACAAATGGCCAATAAATAAATACATGAAAAGACCCTCAACATCACTCACCATTAGGCAATTACAAATCAAAAGCATGATGAGATAGATACTACCTCACACCTATTAGAATGGTTACTATTTTAAAAATGCAATTAGTATGCAGAGGATATAGAGGAATTGAATCACCCGTGCACTGGTAAGAATATAAAATGGTCAGCTACTGTGTAAAATAATATGGTAGGTCCTCAAAAACTCAAACACAAAATTATCATATAATTTGGCAATTCTACTTATAAATATATACACAAAAGAAATGGAAGCACGGACTCCAGCAGACATATGTAAACACTTGTTCAAAGCAGTATTGTTGACAGCACATAAAAGGTAGAAACAACCTAAATGTCCACTGATGAAGGACAGATAAGCAAAAGATGGTACATATACACAATGGAATCATTATTCAACCTTCAAAATTAAATAAATTCCAACACATGCCACAACATGTATGAACCTTGACAATAGTGTGCTAAATAAAATAAGCCAATCACTAAAGAATAAAAGCTATATGATTCCACTTATGATAAACTTAAGAGTAGTTAAATTCATAGAGCCAGGAAGCAAAATTGTAGTTGTTCCCAGGAAGGAGGGGTGACAGAATGAGAAATAAGTTTTAATAGATACAGAGTTTTAGTCAAGGAAAAGGAAAAGCTCTGGATGAATGGTGGTATGGGCTATACAATATGAATACACTTGATACCACGTATACCTAAGAATGATTCAAATGGTAAATTTTGTGTTATATTTTATCATAAAAAAATTTTTTTTAAATGTAAAAATTAAAGACACAATATTGACTAAAAACTGGACATGGTGCGGGGAAGAGAGGCAGCAAGATTGTCCCTGTCCCTGAGCTGGGCATGATGGTGTATGCCTATACTCTCAGCACTCAAAAGGCTGAGGCAGGAGGATCACTGTGAGATGGAGCCCAGCCTGGGCTACAATAGTGAGACTAACTCAAACACCCTCTCCCCAAATAAAAAAACATCGTTCCTGAATTCCTGGTTTGTATAGATCATTGGCCATAGTGCCATTCAGGACAAGCATGCTCATTAATGCTTTTATATGCACCTATAGTTCTATTTTCATCATTATGCACTATTCTGGTATACAAATTAACCAACTTATTTATATACTTTACTAATAAAGGGTATTAAGATTGCTTCAACCTCCTAATAATTAGAATCACTATGGCATGCATCAAGGTGAGTTTCTCTAGGCTATATAGGAGCCACTGTCTTACAGTATTCACATCAACTTTAATAACTGTACCATTTTATACTCCCACTATCAGAGTGAAATTTTTTTCCCTTGCTTTATATCTACCCCAACATTTGGTACTGCCAGATGTTTCTGCCTGACCAATTAATTGACAGTGTTATCCCAATGTGATTTTACTTTGTATTTAATACATTATTATGTTTGCACAATGTTTTCATTTGGGAAGTATATAGCCAATCTTCTGCCCACTTTACTGTATGTCTTTTTCCCTTAGCGATTTCTTTGCACATTGTACATTTAACCTTCTGGCAATTATTTAGGATGCAAATAGCTACTCTGTGGCTTGCACTTTTATCACAGTGATAAGCTATTTAATTTCTCTTTTGATAAATAGAAGCAGCTAATTTTAAAGTAGTCACATTTCTCTTGGATCTTTATGTGGCTTAGCTAAAATGTTTCCTTATCTCAAAGACAAGAAGATGTTTGCCTACATTATCCTCCATGAGTTGAAATAATTTAAGGTTTGAGTGATTACTTCCTCCTGGGGAACATTTTATTGTTACAGCAGTCTGGGACCAGGCTGAAGGAGGTGGAGTCTCATCAGAGTATCCAAATGGGGCAGGACCTGGCCTCCATTTTATCCCTAGCTCTGAAAGAGCCTGAAGTACACATCTACTTCTCAGACACTTCTTCCAAACTGACAAATACTCCACTTTTCTCAGAACAAAAGGGGATCTCTATTACCTCTCTACAGTATATTTATTCTTAAACATGGTGAGGAATCTTGATTACTCCTCCTTTAAAGGGAAGTACAGAACACTAATACAGCAAAAGATACTAAGGAGGGTGAGGACTGGACAACTGGAGAGGAATGATTAAAGATAGAAAAATGTCTACCAATGGTAGAAGCAAGGGCCAAATAGGAAGGTATCTGGAAAGTGAGCAGTGATGTTTCAACATAGGAGAAAACAATGGTTAAATAAACATAAGCTAAGAAATGTGGCTCTACTAAATTAAAAAAAAAAAGCAAAACTCATCATTACCTGCAATCTGTACTGAGCCATCTTCTCCAAGAAGAATATTTCCAGCTTTTACATCTCTTTAAGAAAAAAAAGTTACATGTCAAAAACCAGCTTTTTGGAGTAACAGCTCTTCAGCAACTGTTTATTGTATTTACACAGGACTGACAATATTTAAATATTTTATTTTGTATCAAGGAGTTTAAGGCCAATAGTAAAATTTTTAATTAGTCACTTTTACTATCATATAATCCAAACAAGCAAAAAACTACAGTACAGTATAGCTTATTATATCTAGAAAACCTAAGATGGTTAAATACTCTTGATAAATGTGGCTAAAGAATGTGACTTTTACCTATTTTAACCTAGTTCTACTTTTTGAAATATTATATACTGATTTTTTTCCTACACCAACTAAATACTAAAAAATACTAGATTATTCTCTCTCTGGGACCTCAAAGCCCACTCCCCACTACTACTCATTTTTTAAATAACGGACAGTTAAAACTACACACTATTCTGTGCTCATGGCATAAAAATAATTAAAATTATTCAGAACACGGTATTTTTATTGTTTTCTATAACAATTTACATAATATATTAATACATTCTTGTTATTAAAAACTACATCACTAAAAAGATCAAAGTCCCTTTGGGCACCATTCTCAAGTCTAGTGTTCTCTCCAAAGTTTTCAACTATCATCAGTCTGATTAACAGAATATATACCTATGAAATACTTGAACATTTCCCCCAGTATAAATGATACTATGCTCTCCATTTAAATTTATAACTTGTTTTCTTTCATGCAACAAGTTAGTAGTTTCAGGAAAAACTAAAAATCCTTTAATACCAAAAGCAGCAAACTGATTTCAGGATAACCTAGAGAAACTCTTACAACATAAAAAGAACGTACAAAAGGGTTCTGCCGCAGCACTGTTTATAACAAAAATATTAAAAACCTAGATAGACAACTCTAGCAGAAAGCTTGAATTAATTCTGTTCTATGAAAGAAAATGTCGATTATCAAAGGAAAATGAACGCATATTGAGGCCATACTCTTAAGTGAAATAAATAAGATACGTGTAAATACTGAATAGTTTTGTTGGTGTGAAAAACTGAAAGTGTAAATAAGATCCAAATTGTATAACTGATAATGTGAAATAGGAAGAAAAGAGCTAAAGGTGTAGGGGAAGAGGAGGGGAAAGGAAATAAGGGGCAAGAAAAAATATGAGAAAAGGAAAAAATGGAACAAAGTCTTTGTAAATAGGGGAGGGGGAGGCAAGGGGAAGGGGAAAAAACGCAAACTAAGATCTGTCAGGTAAAGGTACAAGATCCCAATGATGAATGTAACTGTACTGCATACTTAAAAAATACCAACAAACTCAGTAAGATTTAAAAAAAAAAAAGAAAGAAAGCAAATGTCAATCAGCAGGCTGTGACTTGAAATGTCCTTTAAAACACAGTTAAATGAACAAATCAAACAGAAGAGTGTATTTTATGACAGTATTTGTGTCACACCTAACACACATGTACATCTTTAAAGATTCCTTTTGTGGAGATGAGTGGGACTGAGGCCAAAGGACACAGTCTTTGAATGCCTGGTGAAATGTACAATAATCTAGTCATTTTTCAACTAAAATAAATATAATTAAATAAACAAAAGAAAAGCAGCCCTTAAGGCTAGATAAGAAAAAGCAAGGCCAAACTGGGTATGGTAGCACCTGCCTGTAATCTCCGTATTCTGGGAGGCTGAGGCAGAAGGGATGAGCCCAGCCCCAGCAAGTTAGCAACTCAGCAAAACCACATTTCAAAATTTTAAAATAAAAATAAAAAAGGCTGGGGATATAGTTCAGTATACCAGCTCTAGGTTCGGTCCCTAGAACCAAAGAACAGGACAAGGACAGGACAAGACAGGACAGGACAGAAAAGCCATGACTGTCATGAAAGGAAGCCACAGAAAGCAGAACACGTCATCTAGTCCCAGTCCCCTTTTCCTCCACCTTTAGATACAACCATTTTCCAGGAAACAATGAATAACTTTTATAACTACAAAATTTCGCAGCATCTTACCAGAGTATATAATGCTTTTCCCATACATATACTAAAGCATAAGGAAAGCTCCTGAGTACACCCAAGCAATTTATAAGCTGTTTTCCAAGTGGGCAACTTCAGAGAACAGACACTAACTTGCTAACAAGAACCTACAGTCTCTGACTCTAGACACTAGAGACAGAAAAAAACCTGAGGACATCCTCTTCTCTTGATAACACAGACCACCCAACCAACTCCCTGTTCTGAGATAATCTAAAAAACAATGGGGAGAAAAACCAAAGTTTTGCCACTCCCTCCTCTGATTTTGCAACAGGCCAAACTGCAATGTTAGCATAATAAACAGCATAATCAAACTGCCAGTCTGTCTCCCCACTCCACCATAAACCAGATATGGTCTGCATCCTAACACGCCACTGCATCACCTGGACTTGGGCACCTCACAGATACTCATCAAATACCACAGATTTAAGGTAACTACACAGGAGACTGCTTGCCTCAAATTCTCATCTGAAAATGGAGTACTAAAAAATAATAAATTTAAAATGCCAACTGAATAGTGAAAAAAGCTGCTCTATCCCTGCTGCCCCAATGCCCACTCTCCACCCCCTACTCTGTTCAAGATGTCAGCATTATAAACTAATATACTGAAGTCAAAGAATGGAAACAACCTAACTATGCACCAGGAGCCAGTTAAGCTGTGGTTCATCAGAGTGTCAAAATGCAACCCTAAACCCACTTGTTTATTGCAAAGTATCAATACAGCTAGTAAACCTGAATACTGAGATTTCAGTTTAGAAAAAACTTACACATTAAGATCTTTTTTAAAGAAAAACACAGTAACACACATGCCCCAGATTCACCATGATTACTCTGTACACCATGAAATCTACATGTACAGTACCAAAGAATACATGTGTTTATATGAAATAATCTGCAAACAAAAGTGAAAAAGATATTTCTTATGGTATGTCAACATTTACATTTTCTTTGGGGGGAAAAAGGACAGAGAATATAAATTCATTATGCTTATATTGGCATAAAGTCTCTCTCAAAGGAATCCAAAGAAAATGACAAGAAGTTATTCTCTTTGGACCAGAGTAATAGCAGTTAAGAAAAGAAAGACTTTTTTTTAAAGGTTATTTTTTAGAACAGTCTTAGATTTACATAAAAATTGAAAGGACAGGAATTGAGAAGTTCCTGTACACTTCACACTCAGTTTCCCCTATTATTAACATCTTATATTAGTATGATACTTTCGCTACAATTAATGTACCAGAATTACTGCATCATTATTAACTACAGTCCACAGTTTGCTGAGATTTCCTTTTTCTGTCCTAGGGCCCCCTACACATTAGCATATTCTATTTAGACACCATGCCTCCTTAGGTTCCTGTTGACTGTGATACTTTCTCAGACTGTCCTTGGTTTTGGTAACTTTGGCAGTTTTGAAGGATAATAGTCAAGTATTTTGTAGAATGTCTCACTAGCTGAAATTACACGATGCTTTTCTCAAAATGCAGTAATGAATTTTGGGGAAAAAATGTTAAAAGTGACATTTTCATCACATTAAATGGAAGGAACACGGCAACAACATAATATAGCACAGATGAAACTGAGAGGGCCAGTTTTTCTTTACATCATTTTGTGTGGCTTGATTTTGTTCCCCATACTGGGGTTTGAGTCAAGGAAGTAATTTTATTTCTTTTTATTACTTTATTTCAAGACAAGTTCTTGCTACATTGCCCAAGTTAGCCTTGAATTTGTCAACCTTCTCAGCTTCCCAAATAGGTCAGATTACAGGCAGGTGCCACCACACTTGGCCTGTCTGAAGTTTTTTAAGCCAAATACAGACATCTATTCAAATTATGTTTTGTACTAAGCTTTCATTTTTGTAAGAGATGGTAATTCATTTTTCAGTGGAGACTGCACTTTTAGCAATTGGTTTCCTGAAATAATCTGTTTCCCTTTTGAAACCAAAAATGCATCCTCCAAGAGTAAAAGGAGAGGAACAATCAAGGCTCATGGAGAATCAAAAACATCAGATTGTCCTCACTAACAACAATACAACAGATCTTTCAAAGTAAAGAACTGTAACCAGATATTTGAAAATCAATATAGTCCTATTTTTTAAAAAACTCTTAAAATCTATCATAAAGACTATCAAGCAAGTCAGCAGGCCGAACAGCCATGAAAAGTAAGAGTGAGTTTTGTTGTTCACTGCTTACTGTCATTTCTCCCACAACAATGCTGTCCCAAAGTTACACATTCCTCCTAAACTTAACAAGATTACAGACATGCTTGGCTTTCTAATCAGTACAGAACAGAAGCTTCTGCTCATAATGTTTTTATTACTCACCAATAGGCATGCTTTATAGAAAACTTGTAAAAAGGTCAAGAGAAACAATGAATTAAAATCAAAGCTGGAAATATACTACATTTAGGCATCTTAAAATAGCCAACATGTCTGTGAGAGCTAAATTTTCAATGAGAAAAATATTTGGGTTGGTACACAGAGAAAAGCCTAATTTAGAGACATGTTCATCTTAAAATCTCTAAAGCCCAAAGGATCGGGGAAAACACAGTACAAATGGAGGAAGGTATTTAACCTGATCTACCAGGCTAACACACAAATCCACCTGCAGTAACAACTGGACCTTAAATACACAAGGAGTACCAAAACCTACTAAAATTGCTTCTAATTCCCCATGCAACAACTTTCTCCCAAAGCTACTTAAGGACCAACGCATTTCACAGGTAGTCACAGCTGAAGGAGTAGTAGTTCTCAGGCTTGGCTACACATTAGAATCACCTAAGCAACCACTTCTTGGCCTTTTGGCTAAGATTAAGTGTAGAATCTCCTGGGGATCCTTTAAAAATCCCAAAGGCAAGGCTTTATTCCACAGCAATTACATGATTTTCTGGCAGGGAACTCAGGACACAATACTATTTAAAGCTTTTCAGGTGATTCCAATATGTATCAAAGGCCGAGTGTATGAAAGCGCAAGACAAGTAATTTCGGTCCCAAGC